AACATTTAAAGCGAACACTTGCGTTTTAGTTGCTAGCCCTACATATATAGACAACACTGAAACTAAATAGTCAGGGTCAAAATATTTTAATGCAAATAAAAATACGAATTAATGCCTCGCATAACTTTTTCTTCCATCACGTGCCTTAAACAGCTGATTGCTTGCATTAATTTTGAATCAAAAAAAAAAATTCATTAGCACTAACAAATTTAGTAGCCTATGATCACTTCGTCAAAGTGCATTGCATACAAATGCCAATCATTAAATTCTGGCATTCGCTGTCAACATCATTCCGGCAATCGTGAATTGCATGCAAATTGCCTATCAAAAGACTTAAGACACGAACTTGCCAATTAGTTTCACACCTGCTGCCATAAAATGCATATTTTTTATTTACGTTTTAAATAATAGTTCTTAATTAAGACTTGTTTCATTCTTTGGCACACAGCATGATGCCTATCATCGGCCAGTACACAATATCTGATGTCGCGAAAATTTCATCGCTATTACATGAACGTTATGGCCGTATAGTGCGGTTTAGTGGGCTCATTGGACGACCCGATTTGCTGTTCATATATGATGCCGATGAAATTGAAAAGGTAAGAAAAGAGTAGCTAAAAAAATTCTTAACCATTGCATTCAATAATTTCGACACATATTTAAATACATATTTCGATTAAGGTTTAAGAATAAGAATAAGCTTTTAGAGCTTTAAGAATAAGAAATCAGCGGAAGTATATATATGTATGTACAAATGCCTACACTGCCGGCAAAAAGTATTGGCACAACTGCTTTTTACAATATATGCAACAATTTTTATTGTAATAATTTTCCGATAATTTTTTGTAAAAATAAGGGTTCATTCTACAACAAAAAAAAAATAATAAAATATAATTTCTAAACTTTGTGCAAAACTCGCGAAAATTCAGTAAATTTTCATGCCAATTTTCAACTTTTTATCGGATTTTTGAGTATGCAGATTTGTAGCTCATTAAATTCTAGTACAAAAAATGCAAGTTCGGAGTTAGTCAAAAATCGCATGGAATTTTGAGATTTTTTATACCCGAGCGCACTTGTGCACAAGGGTATTATAACTTTGTTCACATAACGGTTGTTTGTAACAGGCAAAACGAATCGAGATAGATATAGACAAATGTATACATAAATGATCAGAATGAAAAGAGAAATCGATTAAGCGGTGACTGTCTGTCCGTCCGTCCGTCCGTCCGTCCGTCCGTCCGTCCGTCCGTCTGTCCGTCTGTGCACACGATAACTCGAGTAAAAATTGAGATATCTTAACGAAACTTGGTACGTGCACTTCTTTTAGGCATAGGACGGATGGTATTGAAAATGGGCGAAATCGGACAATAACCACGCCTACCTCCCATATAACGGTAATTTTCAGAAAAACGAAAACTGCGATATTTTAGTAACTACTGAATATAATTAACTCAAAATTGATATTTACAATAACTTTTAGACGAAAAATAAGAATATTATAAATTTTTGGAAAATGGGCGTAGCCACGCCCACTTATGGATACATGTGTATATCTTGGTAACCGCTTCACCAATTTCTTCCAAACTTGGCACAGTTGTTAGTCTTGCTACAGGATACCAAATGGCCGAAAATTTTTAAAATCGGACAATAACCACGCCTACCACCCATATAACGGTAATTTGGAGAAATACGAAATCTTCGATAAATCAATAAATATTAAAGCTAATTTATTCAAAATTAATGCTTGCAACAATTCTCTACCAAGAAATACGTTTATGATAAAATTTTGGAAAATGGGCGTGGCACCGCCCACTTATGATCACATATATGTATCTCGGTAACCGTTCCACCAATTTGTACCAAACTCGGTATGGTTATTGTGCTTGCCACATAAAAGCAAAACGTTGAAAATTATTGAAATCGGACTAAAATTACGACCGCTTTTCATATAACGGTATATTTCAGAAATGCTTGAAACTGCAATATTTCGAAATTTAAGGACGCTAATTTACTTAAAATTTATACACCCCGGATTATCGTGTAGCGGTAGCTTTCGGATTTTTGGAAAACATATATTTAATAATTGCGCCGGGTATTTAATGTTCGGCTCCGCCCGAACTTAGACTTTCTTACTTGTTTTT